GCGGGCGGAGGGGGCGGGGTCTCGACGGGAGCGGGAGGAGGCGGCTCGGGAGGGGCCCTGCGGTTGGGCCCGGACGCATCACGCCCCCGGCGCCCGCAGACAGACAGGCTAAGGGAACCCGAAATCCCTCGGGCCACGTCGGGAGCCCCTCAGCCTGGCCTGAAGCGTACGGTGCTTTTCCCCGAGTCTTCAATCCTGTGTCCTGGCCTGTAGAGGCAAGAGCATCCCTTCCTCGGGGCTGATGAGGCCCGGTGCGTGCCAGGGAGAGGCTAGGCGGAGGCAGCCGGAGAAGGGCCTGGAGTTGAGTGTTCCCCCGGGGTAGGGAGAAGCCAGGAGCAGGGAGGACCGGCCGAGTGCTGGGGTTGGGCAGCACTCAGGTTTGGGGAGGAGCAGGAGGAGGCAACAAGCCCCTAAGTGGGACTGAGGGAATGGAAAAGAGCCCGACAGGACCAAGAGGCCTTGCCTGGGGACTGGCCCTCATACTCTTGGTTCGATCCTGCTGGTAGTCTCTTGGAGAACCCCACATCACTGCTTGCCTCAAGCCCAGACCCATATTGTTGTCTCCAACTTGGTCTCCCCTGTGTCCCTGTCTCCAGCTGGAGTCCGAAACCGGGAGTTACCTGAAAGCCTGCCTGCATAGCAGGTTTCCTGACCCAGCTAGTGTAGCACGAGGTTTTGCCATTGCTACCTCTTAAAGGTCCCTTAAGTCTACCTACCTCTCTCCACCTCCTGCCCCTCCCTGAGCTCAACCACTAGTCATGTCTCCCCTGGCTTCTCCCCCTACCCAGTCTCACTTCCCCCTGGCCAACCTGGACAGGTTTTCAGAAACACTGGACAGCTGCCTCCTAGGATCTTCCATTGTCCCCACTGCCTTGAGAATAGGTCCCCCTCAAGCCCTCCAGGGCTCACTCCTCACCACCAGCCCCACTTGTCTTTTGGGGGCTCAATACCTCTGCTGCTAAGAAGCCTTCGCCATGTCCTCCTGGATATCCAGAATGGCCAGCAGCCCTTCATCAGCTGGACACCTCTCAGGGGTCAGGCTGTGCTGGAGAAATCAAGAACAGCCCTTGGTCTCAAGAGTTCCTAGTCCGGATGGGAAAGACTCGGGTGAAGGGCGCTGAGACCCTGAGGCTCCCAGGATGGAGCCATTGGAGGAGTGGATCTACAGGGCAGGGATTCAGAAGAGGGCGGGGCCAAAGAACCGCTTTTGTCCCAGTGTTGGAGATTGAATCCAGGGCTTCCTGCATATTAAACAAGTGTGCTACTGTTGAGCTTCACCTCAACAGGACAGTTTGGAGAGCCCTCGAGGACCCACAATCCTAAGTAGAGCCACGGAAAGGCGCAGATCATCTAAAACAAGGCCAAAAGCACAACCCTTGTCCCAAGTAAGGTCAAAATTCTGACCTAGGCCACAAAAGTCTCACACGTAAGCCTTGAGAAACGCTTCTGGGTGGATATGATGGCTCTGCTCCACAAAAACCTTCCAGACGTGGCTCTCTCCACCCCCTGTACCAGCAAGCTCTGGAGGTGGCCTCTGTCCTCGTGGTTCTGAATCAGGGCCAGAGCTCCAGTCATCACATACACCTTCCAGGTTTTGGAATGGAGAAAAACAACAAAGGATCAACACTAACTCTCTCTTTTCAAAATTATTTATTTTATGTGGATAAATGGTTTGCCTGTATGTATGTATGTATGTGTGTGCCTGTGGGTGATTGTGAGCCACCGTGTGACTGGAAACTGAACCCGGGTCCTCTGCCAGAACAGCAAGTGCTCTTAACCACTGAGCCATCTCTTCAGCTCAGCACTCTCTTAGAGAAAGTACCCAGAGAGTGCCACCGAACATGCCCCCCATACACCCCACTACCTCAGATTTTGTCACATAACCAGACCCAGTTAAAGGAGATAGAACATGGAGATGCAACCTCCGTTATAGGCAGCCATGTGCCCAACCAAGGGGCAAGGGTTGTAGCACCAAGAGGACAATATATATGCACGCATGTCTGTATCCAGAGACAACGAGTGATGATAGCGTGTGCCCGTGTACCAGGCACTGTCCTGGGCTCTTTCACGTGTGTCTCTCTTATCCCAACCCTAGCAGAGGTTGCAGTAACCCCTAACACACAGAGGAGTCTTGGAGAGAGGCCACTTGCCAAGGACACAGGGTGAGCTGTGTGACAGCTGCTGTGAGGGCTGCAAGAGGCTTTCTTCCCCTACTCTCCAGGCCTGCCAGGAAGTCAGGAGAGGCGGCACTGGGCTACCACTGGAAGGGATCTTGGAATAACGGTTAAATGCTGGGAGCCGAGCAAGATGCAAGCCCGGGTATTGCTGTGGAGTTTGCATCAAGGGCTCTGCTAGCGACCTTGGCAAGGGCATCTGGAAGTGATGGGGGTGGAGGCCGGTTGCAGACAAGGGTGAACTGGTCTTTCTGGACGGGCGGCAATGAAGAGGGAGTAGGCTGGTGCGCAGCAGCAGATCACGAGCCAGAGGTACGCAAGAGAGGCCGCCTTGGCTGGAGGTATCTGGGCTGGTTGGATACTTCTTTTTTTTTTTTTCTTTTTTCTGCCACTCAGGAGGAAAGAGACAGGAAGCCCAGGCTTCGGGCGCTGGGAAAGAGGAGGGTGAAAGGTTCTTGGCTGGGGAAGGGGGCAGAAGGCCAAGGTCTGAGAGAACAACCGGCCCATGCTGTCCACTCCGCTAGCCACTGGCTTCATACGGCTATTTTGGTGAATTAAAAGTAAATAAGAACTGGGTATGGTGCCAAATACCTGCGATCCTAGCATTTGAGAAGCTGTGACAAGAGGATCGTGAATTTCAGACCAGCACGAGCCGCATAGCAAGGCACTGTTTAAAAAGCATTAAAAAGTGAACCGGCTCCAGGTGTTTATTGGCTACCCTTGGCAAGTGGCCACCAGGTTGAACTGTGCAGATCCATCAGTGTGAGAAATTGTGCCGTTCAGACTGGTCTAGACAGAGCAGGGTAGGGGTACTCAGAACCCCTGGCTGGCTGTGAGCCCAGGCTGGAGGGCGTGCCCACATGGAGCCTCACTTCCTTTGTGGCAGTGCCCCCAAATCCCCACCCCTGGGACAAGACAATAAGCCTTTCTCTCAACCCTGTTTCCCAAGGCTGCCTCTGGGATGCTCAACTGCCCTCACAGCCAGGAGAAGAGCTTGCTCAGGCTTGGGCAGAGTGCTGGTGCCCTGTCCTGTGTGGACATGGAGCTCAGGGACTCTTGTGAGCTCACTGACCCAACTGGGCTCAGGCACCCCTCACCAGCCTGCCCACGGGGACCTCAGAAGCTCAGCTCAGCTGCGCGTCTCGCAGGTGCACAGAACTTCAGAAGGGCTTAAAAGGAAAGCAAAGAAGACAGAAATTTGTCCCCATTTCTTTTTATTGTGCCCCACCCCTTGCCTCCTCAGCCTTCATGTTCCAACCAAGCTGGGCCACGGAACAGGCCACGGAAGCTGGGACTGGGCCACAGGCAAGGAGCCAGGATTCATCAAGCTTATACCTCCATCTGAGGTAGCTGAGTAAGGTTCTGTGGCTAAGAAGGGCTGGGCTGGCCTGCCTCCCTCAGGAAGGAGCATCGTCCCATGTGGGGTGGGGGGGACACTGTATGGAGACCATGTGTCCCTGCCTGGGGGTGTAGGTGTGTTCAGATGGCTGCACTTGGAGTACCCAAGCTGTTCCAACCCACAGTGGGGGTGGAGGAGTGTGTGTGTGTGTGTGTGTGTGTGTGTGTGTGTGTGTGTGTGTGTAGGAGGTGTGTGCACATGGGGGTTTGTGAATGCCTGTGTGGCACACGGGCACACTACACACTTGCTGGGTGTTTGAGCCCCTGCTCAGTGCTTACAGCTGCCGGCTGGGGCTGACCTGAGGCTGATTGGGAGCTTACAAGTCCAAAAGCTCCAGGACAGCCGTTCTTAAGCCTCAGGTACAAAGTGGCCTGTGTTTCTGGTTTAGGAGGTGGGCTGTGTGCCAGGCACCTGCACCGTTGATGAGCCTCCCAGGGAATTCCTTCAGAACTTCCCTCACTGAAAAACATCCTATGCTGTCCAGTGTGGTAGCCATGGGCCACACATGTCCACTTAGCTAGTTCAACGGAGGCATATTTTTTTTTTTATCATATTTTAAGTTCAAATTGTCACATCTGGCTAGCGGCTTCCATATGGAAGAGCACAAATCTAGGAAGGTGAGGCCCTGGGATGGACAGTGAGAGCCGGAGCCATAAACACAAAGCTAAGGTCTAGGTGTGTGAGGAGCCCAACCACATGAACCCAGAGTGGCTGAAACTGCAGGGGGCACCCCTCAGGAGGGGAAGTGTGGAACTGGACCCAAAGCTCGGAATTGCAGTGTCTCGCCTGTCTCCACTCTGAACTAGAGGGGCAACTTGGTGTCTGCCTGGTAGGAAAGCCCCTGGGAATGGCCTCTGCCCTGGCTCGAAGCCACCAGCCCTTGCCGGAAACCGCACACTGAGTCGAGTCCAGAGCCCAAGGCTTAGGTCAAGAGGTCCTCATGTTCTCCTGCAGGCCCAGAGTGGAGCTGGTGGCCGCGGGGTCACGTTCACCCTGTGTATGCAATGTGAGAATGCAAGTCAGGCCCCAGAAGTACCGAGTCCTGCAGGACAGAGCCTGCCACTACAGACCCACGAGCTTGAGGTCTTTGAAGAGTCCTGCTAAAGAAGTCTGGGAGTTCTCTTACCTCCCCAGGCCCCATGTCCTCCGCGTATTTGAACTTCTTCTGCTTGTAGTAATGCCTCTTGGGCAGGATGTGGAGCAACAAGAGATCACAAAGAACTGTGGCCTGAGGACAGGGAGGGCAGGGATGGAGAACAGGAATCTGGGGGCAGACACAGACCTTCCATGTCCCAGTGTGGTCCCTACTGACTGTGGTCCTGTCCTAGCTGAATCCTTCCACTACAGACCCCGGGTTCCTGAAGACAGGATAAGGTGCTGCAAACCCCTCCTGGGTCCAAGTCAGTCTCATCCTACCTCTCTTACCTTAACTCTGAGCCTTAGTTTCCCCAGGTCCATGGTAGGTCTAGGGTGATGGAGAAAGCAGCTGCTGCCTCAGAAATGATAGGCAGCTACAGTCACATTTTGGGGGTTCTGCTGCTGAATGTAGAAGAGGAGTGGCTGAAACCCAGCACAGCACTTACCACTCCAAAGATGCCAATTCCAGAGCCGATGGTAGTCATAGTAGGGATGATGTCAAACTTCCCGGCCTGGTGGCAGGGTCCAGGGGAGAGCCGAATCAGAAGAAGGGACCCAGATAGAAAAGGTCAAGCCCTGCTCCCTCTACTCCAAACTACCCCCACTACCTGTGGCCCAGGGCTCCAGCTCTCCTGAGAGCCAGCTCCTGGTCATTAAACCTGGCCTTGCTTCCCGGGACCCAAGGAAATGGAAGGGGAGTCCTGTCAGTGGCTCTAAGCCCGGCCAGGGTCATCCCTCATGTCCATGGTCATTAGAAGCAGATCTCTGAACATACCCCTCCCATCACACTTCATATCCATAACAACAGACATCCGGAATTCTCACGAGGGGCCTTCCTTGGTGGCCATCCCTTCACATGGGGCACTCACCTTGCCATCCACAAGGATGTCAAAGCGAATCCCAAACACCTTGAAGAGGTGACGACGGTTTGTCCCGTTCTGCACAAAGTGCCTGGCAAACCTGGAGGCGGGGGGATGGGCAGGTGGCAGGAGACGGTGCCAAAGTATTAGGAAGAGGCCTTCCAGCATTGCTCAAGGAGAGTGATTAGCCTCCTTCCAGGAGAATTGAACTCAGCCCTTCCCTGACTCCCACCAGGCAGACCTCCCAGGAGCCAAGACCCAGGGCTAGGGGCTCAAGCCTTTAAGGTCTTGTTTCCTGCTGGCTTCCTGTTTGGCAACTCACACAGGATGGAGGCCATCTAGGGTCCTTTGGTCCCCTCTGGGAACATTTGTCAACCTGTGGCATTCTAGAAATTGGCAGGAGACTGTCAGGTACCTGAAGTTGAAGCCTGGAGACAGATTTTTCTCCCCATATAGTCCATGGAACTGGTAGATGGGTTTGCAGTGCCTTACGTGCCAATCCAGGTCACACTCCCAGTCGATGGTGATGCCAACCACCCCACCCTGCCAGAGACACAAGCACATAAGATCTGGGCTTCAGGATTCTAAAACTCCTGTCTAGACCGGCAAGATGGCTTCATGAGTTTAAAAAGAGGAAACAGCCGGGCGGTGGTGGCGCACGCCTTTAATCCCAGCACTCGGGAGGCAGAGGCAGGCGGATCTCTGTGAGTTCGAGGCCAGCCTGGGCTACCAAGTGAGTTCTAGGAAAGGCTCAAAGCTACACAGAGAAACCCTGTCTCCAAAAAAAAAAAAAAAGAGGAAACAACAACAACAAAAACTGTCTTATTGTTGGTATCTGCACTGTCTTTGAAAAATTATATTATTAATTTTGAGAGGTGTGTATGGGTGCTTTCTGAGTGTGTGTGTGTGTGTGTGTGTGTGTGTGTGTGTGTGTGTGTGTGTGTGTGTGTGTATGTTTTCGGAGCCCAGAAGAGGTCATTTGGATTCCCCGGAGCTGGAGTTTCAGGTGGTTATGAACCACCCAATGTGAATTGCTGGGAATCTAAAGTTGGGTCCTCTGGAAGAACAGCAAGTGCTTTTAACAGCTGAATCATCCCTCCCATTTCCTAGTTTCTTGAGACTGGGTATTACTGTGTAGTTAGGTTGGCCTTGAACTCCTGATCCTCCTGCATCTGCCTCCTGTGTGCTGGGGTCACAGATGTGTGCTAGCACACCTGGCTTGTCATATGTGTATTCTGTGCGATTGCTTATTGACCTCTGTCCTCTAAGACTGTCAGGAGACAGAGTCGTCTGGCACTTGTCACATTTCCCGAGAGTTGCTGCCTCAAGCCGCAGTGGTGTGGGAGACAAGCAGCCTTTGAACTAGAGTGACCTGTGCAGTCTGGGAAGAAAACACTTCAGAACGTGAAGTCAGGCAGGACAGGTGGGTGGCTCAGGCCAAGAGCCGAGAGGTGGTCAGAGAAGTGGGCAGGCAGCTGAGCAGCTTAGCCTGGAGGCCGGCACAGAGATCCCCAAACTCAGTGGGTGAGGGTAGGCGTGGCTTCTAGAAGCAGGGTGGGTTGAAAATCATGATGAACCCACAGAAGCCTAAGCACCCACAGTTAACCACTGTCTGGCTGCTTCCACCTCCGTGTGGCTCTTGGAAGCAAACACCTGCAGACTTCTGTCATACACAACTGTGGGGCTTGTTGGTGACCTCACGGAAAAGGGGAGGGTTGCCATCCCCGCACAGGCAGCTGCAGGAGCGAGCACAAGAAGGACCCAGCGAGAACAGGATGTAGGATGGCCCCATGCCGGGCAGAGCTGAAGTGCTAGCCGGCAGGTGCGTGCTCACTTGATCCTCTCCCAGCGCCACCATGGGAATGGTGCTATTATTGTCTTCAGTGGCAATTCTCAGATACACTGAACCTAAGAGACCTGTCTGAGGGCACACTCTGACTGGGAGGCAGAGCAGGATTTGGATCCAGAGCCTGACGATGACGACGAGGACGAGGACTGTGGTCTTGGAATCCAGGGGACATGTGAAGCCCTGAGGTCCATCCCCACCACAGTGATTTCAGGCTGTGGTACAGCTCTGGGTTAGGGGTTACTACGGAGTGTGCATGAGGCCCATCCTCAGCAGAAAAAAAAATAATTAAAAAAGAAACTGGGTGTGGTGACACACACCTCTACTCTTCATTAAGTAGGCAGATGCAGGGGGATTAAGAGTTTGGGGACAGCCTAGGCCACATAGAGAAACCCTGACTCAAAACAACAAAAAGGAAGAAATGGGAGAGGAAGGAAGGGAGGGGGAGAGGAAAGGAAGGAGAGAGGAAGGAATAAAGGGAGAAGGGAAGGGAGGGAGGACCATTGAATATCCAGATGATGCTGTCTGCCCACACCTCTTCATTCTTAGCATCTCCTCCATGGCAGGATCAGACCAGGCCCTGCAGAGGACCCTCAGGGGCTCTGGTACTAGGGCACAAGTCCAATGCATACACTTGGCCTATCCCAGGGAAATTTGGGAGGCAGGAAGGGACTGGCAGGCCTGTCTTGTGACCTTGGGCCGTATACTCCTTGCTGGCACCGCCCCATCCCATCCATACCTTCTCAGCCAGGCTGCGGAAGTCCTGGCCTGACTCGCGCACCACATAGCCAAGGCTGAAGACTGGGCACAGCGGGTGCAGGGTCTTGTGGAAGAGGCATCTCTTCAGGTAGGTGCCATTCACCTCCTCCACCAGGTTGCGCCTGTGTGGAAGGCATGGGTAGCAGCCATGTGGCAGCTGGGAGGGTGCTCACTCCACTCAGCTCTGGGGACCCTCAAGAACTCTAGAGTGTCCCCCTCCAGAGCAGTCAGCCTCCAGGAGGCCGGCCAAGGCTGCCGTCTCCAGAGTGCAAGCGGCGGGGATGGAGGGAGACAGTGCTGAGAGCGGCCGCAGCTGCCACAAACCACCTGCATCTCCGCCTTCCTTTCCCACGAACCTGTTGACCTTGAAGCGTGGAAAGCTGATGCTGTTCTTGATGAAGAGGGTGAAATTCTCAGCCTCGTGGAGAAGAGCAGGGCTGGGGAAAACAGCACGCACTCAGTGCCCCTCCCCAAGAGTGTCTGCATGCTCCGAAAGAGCTTGGCATGTAGCAGGGTGCACAGGGGTTACCCTGGAGCGTGCATGGATGTGTGGTGGCGTTGGGGTAGCCATGCTACAGAGGCACGGGCTTACAGGCTCCTAGACCAGGGAGACTCTTTGGCCTGGGCCACAGGGATAGAGTGAGGGGTCGGATCAGAAGTATAAAGAACCCATTCTTGCCAGACACAGATGTCTGTGAGTCAGGACCCTGTCTCTAGCTCCCTGGAAGGACAGGACATCAGTTACCTTGGGATCTTGTCATCCACCTCCACAGGACACCAGCCAAAGATCTCACAGGTCTTCACTGTGCTATTGAAGGGCACACACTTGCCTGAGCGAATACCTGTAGGGAGAGAGCAACCCCTGGGGTCCCACCCTATGGTGACTTCCATGGTGTGGGAGCTGAGAGCCAGGATGAGAGCAGGATAGACTTTCTCAATGGGGAACGACTTGGGGAGATGTGGAGTACAGAGAGAGGCAGGCGGGAAGGGGCTGGGCTTACCTTGGGCCTTCCTCTCTGCTTTTCCTGGAGTGCAGCCATTATCATCCTGACATATGCCACCTTCTGGGTTCTGGGGGAGGGGAGAGCTGTTGGTCCCAGGCCCTGTGGTGTGGTCCTAGAGCGGACCCTCTCCTACTCTGCCCCCCCCCCTCCAGGGCCACAGTGTAGACATGGAGCAAAATCTCAGATTCTGTGGAAGACCCTGCTGACAGCCTCCTTCTCCCACATTTATGCTAGGTTTCTGTCCAGCTGCTGAGAGCTGCTGGCAGGGGACTGGAGGTTGGGATGGAGAGGCCCAATGCCCAACAATGGCACTAACAAAGGCTGAGGGTGATTTTGTGTGACTCTCTGTCCAACATTGCATCACAACCTCATCAGAAAGCCCATCCTACATCACCACCAAGGCCCAAGGGGATTCCATCATATTATCTCCCTGTGGATCCAGGAGAGGGCCAGAGTCCTCACCTCTGCACAGTAGCCTTGAGCCTGCTGAGGGGTCACGATGAAATTGGTCATAACTACAAAGGAGCTGTCCCCCTGGAAGCGAAGGGCAGGGAGATGACAGGCGGAGTTGGTAGAACAGCCCCAAGCATCTAAACACTGTCCCAGCAGGGCTCTCGAGCCCACCTGACTGACACCCAGCAGACCCCACATCCCGTGACATCGCTGTGGAGCGACAGGACTAGTCTCACAGCAAAGGAGACTGAGGTCCAGAGAGCAGGACCCTCAGGGGGTCCTGGACTGGTCCCTCAGGCATCCTTGAGCCACGGTTTGTGGGAGGGAGGATGCTGCAGCCCTGAGCCAGCTCACCTGTGCTGGGAAGACATAGTCAGCCACATCCCAGACCTGGGGCCCCAGGCCCTGGAGCTGGGTCACAGCCAGGCCCTTGAGTTTCACAGACACACTGCTGATGAGGCCACTTGAAGTCTGGTATCCCTTTTCGTAGACAAACACCCACCTGCCAGGTCCGGGGAAGACAGAGGAGTTAGGATTCTGTGCAGTGCTGGGCAGGACATCCGAGGACACAAATGGCTGTGAGAGCTTCTGTCCTTTCTGGGCTGCCTCTTGTCCTCCTCAGATACATTTCTGAACTACTTTCCTGGTGGCAGGACAGCCTCGTCTGTCACCCCCTGCTGGCCTGTGTCTAAATTCCCACCCCTCCAACTGCCACAGGGACCAATCCATGAAGCTACTGATAGACTGTCCCTCCTAATCCTTTTTCCAAGAGCTGTCCGTTAGGGCCAGCCGGCCAGCTCTTGATCCCCAGTCCTCCTTCCAAAACACCCTGTTTCTTCCCACACAGCTTCCAGCAAAGTGTAAGGACTGCCCGGGAGTCTGGCTTTGTCTCCCAGCCAGGCCTGCTCCTCCGTGCTGCAAGGTTTAGAGTGGGTCCTTCCTCTTCATCTTCCTTATCTATAAAACGGGAACAACATCCGTGCTTGTTTATGTTAAGCGAGTTAATTCAGAGAAGTTGCTTAGGATGTGGGCTGGCGCCTCGCCAACGCTGCGCAGAAGCCATCTGTCATTACTGAGTAGAAAGTGGGAAAGAGAAGGGAAGTCAGGATATGGGGCTAGAGACCGGACCTTCTTGCAGCATCCAGGCCCCTCCCTCAGGCTCTTGTGTAAGTGGCTCGTGTCGAATCCTGGAGGTTCAGTGGGATTGACCAAGGCATGCCAATCAATGTCCCGACCCTCTAGCAGAAGTAGAGTCTAATTGTCATTAGAAGACTATCAACAGCAAAGCCAGATTCTTTTTTTCCCCTCGGATTTACTAGCCAAGAAACTTCCACTGTGCTGGGTGGCTAAGCAAAATGGCTGTGAGGCCAACATTACCGTTAGCCATTTTTTTTGCCTTCTCTCAGCAATAGCCTGAGGATGGAGCCAGGAGATGGAGAGGACAAGATTCCTGACCATGTTGCCGCAAACCCTTGGGGGAAAAAAAAACAATAATAACAACAATTTCTGGACTTTACTAGAACATGAGCCAACGAAGTAAGTCCCTTCCATTGTGGGAATTAGCTTAGTTTCATTTCGATCGCTTACACTGGGAGTTTTGTACCTCATGTCTCTCCAGGGATAGCCTCTTCCTTTAGAAGACACTGGTCGATTCAGGGCGTGTTGCCCGCTGGAGCATAGACCTGCAGTCCTCCCCAGGGAGAAGACTGTAGGTGTGTGTGCTCTGCTCCCTCCATCCTTTACCTTACCTAGACAAAGAGCTCAAAGTCATCTGCTCTGGGGACAGGATTCTCCAAGCCTTAGTGCCAGAGTCAGTGTCATTTCCCTGTCCTAGGCCACGGGGAAACAGTCTTGTCGCTACTTTAATCCTCTCCTGCGTTGGAAACCAGCCCTCTTCCAAGTCAAAGTGTGGTCACTGCTGCCCCCTGCAGGCCACAAATAGAAACAGGTGAGGCGCAACAAAGGTCTGGGTTCTTCCGGGGCTGGATGCCAGGCTGCCCTGCTAGGAACCCCTCATGGAGAAGGATTCCTCATCTGCATGGTCTCTTGCTGTAGTCAGGCCTCTGTCTCACACCCCAGCTTAAAGGGGCTGCCTTGGAGGAGGGGGTTGTTGCACATTCTGAGTCTTCTCTGAGAAGCCACTGGTTTCCCTCTTCACATCTCCATCCCCAGAACCTCAATTTCTCTTTGCCCAATAGCAACACATGACACAATGGGTGGAGAAACTGGTGTCCGAGGACACTCCCCTCCCAAAGGTCAGAGGTCAAACAGGAGCAGGAGGAGACGCAGGGCTGGAGGCCTCCCATTCAGGGCTGTACAGCACTGGCATGGATGTATCTCCCCGGAGCTCCTCCCCTGCCTCAGCTGTGGGTTGGGACCAGTACAATTTCTGGGCTGTGTCTGCCCCTGGGTCTGCTGGTCTTGGAGGTCAAAAGGAAATGTCAAATCTGGCATTTGTGACCTCAGCCCTGGTAATAATAGCTTTGGCATGATGGCAACAGGCCTGCCATTCCAAAGCTATGTCTTTTAAAGAAGATTTTATTTTTAACTGTGTATATATGTGTGGGTGTGGGTGTGTGGGTGTGTGGGGGAGTTGAACACTCAACTATAGATAACCGTGAAGACAAAGAGAAGGCATGGAATCTGGTGGAGCCAAAATTACAGGTAAGTATGAGCTGCCTGCCTGCCATAGGTGCTGGGAACTGGACTTAGTTTGTCTACAAGAGCGGAACACACTCCTAACCGCTGAGCCATCTCCCCCAAAGCCATGTCTTGACCTGGCCTTGTGGTTACCACTCTGGGAAGGCCATCAGAGTCTGGGGTCAAAGACACCGGCATCTTCAGAGGCCCCTCTCCTTCCAGTCTCTTCACCCTTCAGGGGCTCCCTTCTCCAGTGGTCCCTGGGAAGAGGATACACAGTGACGTGGCCCACGTTTAAGTACTAGACCTGCCTTTTGCCAAATGTATGGCTTCAGACTAGAGACTGAACTTCTCTGAGCCCCAACTTCCTCAGTAAACAGAGGATGCCCCTACCTCAACGGTACGGCCCACTCAGTAAATCCTTAACAAGGCTGTGTACTCAAGACACATGAAAATGAAACTCTCTCATCAAATCTTCCCCATCCCCCTGGCCACCATTCTCAGCCCAGGACAGAGGTCTGGGTGAGCTGTCACAGGTACACTTGTCCCAAGACCCACCTCTACATCTATGGAGGTGGATTATGCCCTTACAAACTCAGCCCTACACATTTAGTCAGTCATTCTATACACATGTATGCATCAAGCCCATCTTTGGTGCCAGGCACTGTTCTCGACACTAAAAGCACAGAAGTGAGCAAATCCTAGGAGCCCGCCCTCAAGAAGTCTGAACAGACTACTGGCATCTCTGGTCGCTTGGTGTGCTGGTTGATATTGTCAACTTTGATTGCGTCTGGAGTCACCTAGGAGACTCACCTCAGGACGTGCCCACAGAGGATTAATTGAGAGAGGAAGTTAACGCAGAGAGAGCAGTACCTTCCAACGGGCCCAGAGATAAAGAGGCCAGAGGAAAAGCAGTGTGGCCTGCCTGCCTTCACTTCCTCCAGGGGCCTGTGACCATTGTGGCAGCTGCTGCCACTGATGGAGCTGATATCAGACCCCAGCCTCTTTGTCTTCCGAGCCGAGGACTAGTAACTCTCCAGGAATCTTCCAGTCTTCCAGTGCCACATTGAGACCCCTGAGGTATCTAGCTTCATGGACCGATCAGCTACCAGGCTCTCAGCTTCTCTGGCATCCAGACAGCCATTGTGAAGCTACCTGGCTCCTACCTATTGTGTAAGGCAATCTGGTGACTCTCCTATGCTACACATCCATTCTGTCGGTGCCGTTCCTGCAGAGGACCCTTCCTAGTACAGATCTGGGTACTGAGGAGTGGGGCCATTGCTCTCATAAGCCTGATCATGTAAACCTTAGGTCTTTGTGGAAGAGTTTGGGGCTGTGGGCCAGAGAAGCCCTTGAATGCTGTAAGCAGAGCCTAATAGGCCATTCTGAGGGGAGTTTAGGAGACGAGAATGCTAAGAGAAATGCAGGTAGTGGGGGGCCCAGATCAGAAGGTCTCACAGGGGAGCAAAAATTCTTTCAGGAACTGGGCCATCTGGGTCATTCGTGTTATATACTGGCAAAGAATCTGGCCTCGCTCTGCCTCTGCCCTGAGAACTTGAATGAGGCTGAAGTCAAAAGTAAATAAAGCGAATTGTTGGAGAGGAACTTGAGTCTCAAACTCACCATGTTGCCAAGGGTAATCTTGAACTCCTGTCGAGTATTAGGATTACAGGGATGCACCTCCTTGTTTATGTTCTGGGGATCTGCCAGGGCTTTGTGCATGCTATGCAACTGAGCTACATCCCCAGCCCTGGCAGAGGACCTTTCAAGGAGGTTTTACTGAGCAGGGGACACCCTCCCTGAATGTGGGCAGCACCATGCCGGTGAACTGAATATAAAGGAGAAAGCAAGTGGAATCCCACATTCTCTCTGCTTCTTGACTGTGGGCGCAGGGAGACCCGGCCGCCCCACTCTCCAGTTGCCACAGCCAGAGAGACTCTCACCACCATGCCTTTACCACCATGATAGATGTGCCCTCAAACCGTGAGCCAGAGTAAACTCTTCCACCTTTATCTGCTTTTGTCACAGCTACAAGAGAGGTAACTAGTTTATTTGGGGACCCAGATCTGCCTTCCACAGCAGACATCTTGAAGGTATCTCCGATGCCACAGGACAGTTTAGAACACAGCTCTGCAGTTCCACAGAACTTTGAACATGGGCTTTCACTTGACCTGATCCCACTACTAGATATATACCTTGGAGAAAAAAAAAAAGTCCACCAAAGTATTGGTCCACAAACACTCAGGGCAGCATTGCTTCTGGGAGCCAAAAAGTGGAAACAGCCTAAAATGTCCAACCACAGGTACTCTAATAAACAAAACGTGATGAATCAACACATGGGATATTATTTAGCCATAAAAACATTGGGTTACACATTATAACCAACATGGCAAGTAAAAGAAGCCAGATACGAAAAGGCGCCTGGTGTATGGTTCTATTTATAGGAAATACCCAGAATAGGCAAGGCAAGCTGTGAGGAGAAAAGGGGTTGATTACTAAGGGATACAATGTTTCCTTTTAGAGTGATGGAAATGTAATTAGAAGTGACAATTATGCAACCTTGTAATAATAATGACCACAGACTTGTGAAGTTTCGTTTGTTTTTGAGAGAGTATCATGTACCAGACTGGCTTGGAACTCACCATGTAGCCCAGGCTAATCTTGAATTTATGATATGACTGTCTCAGGCTACTGAGTGCTGGGATTATAGATAAATACCACCTACCATGCCTGATTCAGTCAGGTGTGTGTGTGTGTGTGTGTGTGTGTGTGTGTGTGTGTGTGTGTGTGTGTGTGTGTGTGATTTTTTTTTAATGAAGGCTAAGGAATAGCTCAATGATAGACAGCGTGTTTAGCATGCTCAAGGCCATAGGTCCAATCCCCAGCATTAAATAAATGAAAGACAAGTTAGTTAAAAGAGCCAATATTAAGGTATTTGAAGTCAGTCTCAAGCAAGTTCCAGTCCAACAAACAAAACATTCAACTGAAGCCAGGCATGATAGCACATGCCTTTAATCCAAGCACTTGGGAGGCAGAGGTAGATGGATGTCTGTGTGTTTGAGGCCAGCCTGGTCTACATAGTGAGTTCCAAAAGAGCCAGGGCTATGTAGACCTTGCCTCAAAAAACAAACAAATACAAAATTCAACTGGACCAATTCTTCTTAAAAAAAAAAAAAAAAAAACTAGGTCTCTCTGTGTAGCCCTGGCTGCCTTAATGTCTTAGAACTTACTCTGTAGATCAGGCTGTCCTCGAATTCACAGAGATCTACCCACCTTTGCCTGAGGTTAAACATGTGCACCACCATACCTGGCCAGAGGTCCACTTGGACTCACACAACAGAGTTCATTTCCTGTGTCCCCCTGCTTCCCAGCAGGAGGGACCAGACCAGTCTGTCATAGCCCAACCCCTCCAACTGGAGTATTCCATCTGTGACATCACCTTAATCTGGGCCAGCAGGGGCTCTGCCTTCTGCAGTTTCTTACTTCCCCTCCTTGTCTCGAATCTACAGGAAGAACATGACCAATAGAGACCACAGCCTAAGCTTCCCTCCTCTAAGCCTGTTCCACGCCTTGGCATCTGAGCCTGTCTGTCTGTCTGTCTGTCTGTCTGACTTCCTAAGTCTCATGGCTGCTTTCTTCATCTGTCCCTCTCCACCTCCATGCTACCCATTTCCAACATAGGCTTTGATGTCTGGTGCCCAGAGACCGAATCCCTTGATCGTCCCTTGGCCCCCACCCCCCAGCTTCCTTGCAGCACCCACAGGACCGGACAACCAGACAAACGTCTAGGAAAGAGGAGGATCCTTAGAGCAATGCCCTTCCCTTCACAAGGAAGAGCATGGTCCTCTCCAACCACTGTCCTATGTAACCATGGGGAGACTGAGGCTTGAGATGCCCGAGGTGCTGGGAGTCTTGTCTGTAGGAGTCGGTGTAGCATCAGGCAGGGGCCAGATGAGGGCGACAGAGACAGAGGAGCCACAGCCAGAGTTAGCAAAAATCCCAGTGGGCAGGGAAGCCTGGATTTGGGGACCTGAAGACCTTGCCTTCGGCTCCGCTGTATGAATTGGCCGTTTTAGTGAGACTAGTTACATCCCTCGTCTCTTACACCCCCATCCCTCACACCAACAAGGGCTACATCCATTTGAAAATGATGGACCATCTTGGACCAGAAGAAAGGAAAGAAGGAGGCGGTGAGGTTCCTGTCACTGGAGGAATATGTCAGAGCTGGGGGCAGTTGGGACTCATCTTAAGCGGGGCTCGAGTAGGTGGACTGTCCCTTCTGTTCTGACAGCCAGGCTCTGAAATCACAGTAGAGAGCCCTCGGGGCCTGAGTGAGGACAACCTTTTTGGCCTCTCCAGGTGAGGAACAGGCTGAGCCTGAGTAGTGTGACTTCTCTTTCCTGGAGGAACTAGAAATAAGTAAATGGTGAACTTTTAGGCTCCTCTTGTGCTCGACCTGTGGTCCTTGGTGCCCATTAGACAGTTCCTTAGAAACCTTGTGGGGATGAAAAGAGAGGGGCAGAGCAAAGGCCGAGGGCTGAGGCTGATTTGCCCCGTGACCTGGAAATTCCGTGGCTCCTCTCTGGGCCTTAGTTTTCCTCCCAAGCTCGGCCAAATTGATTTGTGAGCAAGAGGGAGACAGAGCCCAAAAGGCAGCAGTAGGGTCCTGGCCTTGGCTGCATCTGGCCAGCTCTGAATCTCAGGGGACCAGTGGGCAGAAGAAAGGCTGTTCTGGGTGCTAGACCCTCCCAAGAGGTCCCCCAAATGTGAATGTGCAGAGCCCTCAGA